ACAGAAAGAACAGAAAGCTAAGCAAAGAGGAGCAGTTCTTGGGAGAGCAGCAGCTTTGTAGGCTGTATAGCAGGTTGTGTTTCGTAGGTTTTTGTTTTACCTTAGTGCTTAACAGCTGTAATAAGGGAACTGCAGAGCACAAACTAATGATAAATGGCTAACAAAAAAACAAACCCCAAAAAACCAAAACAAAAAAAACCCCCAAAAAACAACAACAAAAAACCAAACCAACAAACAAACAAAAAAAACCAACAAAAAACCAGAAGAACAAAAAAAAAAAAACCAAAAAAAAAAAAAAAAGAACCTGCCAAGAAGCTTCATCCAGCAGCATCTTCCTGGTGTTGTCAATTATTGAGACCTTTAATTTTAGCAGAAAATCTAACTGGAAAGCTGTTTGGCATTCTCAAAAGTTTGTTTTTGCTTTAAAGAGAGAAATTTGAACAAAAGCACCAGATTTCCAGCAGATCACTATTTCAGGCACCTGGAAAGGGAATAAAACTCAAAAGAAGAGTATCTGCAGATTTTTGCTGCACTTTATGCTTATGCTTCAGGTATGGTGTTTAAGTGTCAAGAGGAGAAAAAAAAAACACCTATAATCTAGGCATGCTAATCTCACTGTCTGTGACCTGTTTTAGAAATAAACGTTTGAAGGTGCATTTCCTTTAAAACATATAGAAGAACATGGAAATGAACATTCAATATTCAAGGTCCTGCATCATGGGAGCCCAAGGTAACGTACTGCTGTAGATCACAAAGCAAGTGAGATGGAAAACATATTAAAGAATGTGAAATATATTTAATATTTCTTAAGCCTATTTTCTAACGTTCTGGAAAAGCTGGAGATGCTTCAAACAGGAATAATCTGCAAACACCATAGCAGGTCTTTACCAGGCTTGGAGATTTGGAAGAACTTCTGAGGGACCAGCCAGAGGTGGAGACTAAGTTCACACTGACTGGCCAAGAGCCTGAAGAAGTGGAGGTTTGCGAGCTGAACTTTCTGGCACTTGATTTAACAGATAGAGGTGAGACCATGAACTCCTGCTCCTTTGGCACACAGTGCCCCAAGAAGGCTTGCTGAGCTAGGCTGACTGTACTACTGCTGGACTGTCCAGCCCAGGGGGAACCACCTCCTGGCAAATGCATCAGAAGAAACCCACCCTGGAAAACACACCAGCAGGATATTTTTTTTGGTAGTGGAATGAATTAAAGCTGGTGCTGAATTTAGGAGCTCATGCCTGAGAAGTTACACTCCTTCATGATCTCCTCGAAGGATAGCCATGATCAACAATGCAAACACCACCACCAAAAGGACACTATGAGGGGGTGTGAAGCTTTGCAAGTAACGAGTTTGATGTCCTGTGGCAGACTCCAGGCTGCAGTTTCAATTTGAGTGACTGTCTTAGATTCCGAGTCTGACAAAGCAGTCTGGCTAGACAGAAATATCGTAGGTGTGAGCATAAGGCATGGAAATACAGACTAGCCCTACAACACCTTCTGCCCCCAGGCAAGGGGCCAACTTGGAGGGACAGAGAAATGCTTTTCCCCCTGATGTGTCTCAGTCATGCACTGCTCTTCCTCTTTGTTATTAAAATTTATGAGGTTATGAGAGTGATTTTTAAATTTTTTTTATTAACTGGGGAGAAAGAGTTAATTGGTGATTTAAGTTGTGAAGAGTGGGAGCAGTGTATTCATGGAGAATAAAAGAAAGAAAACAGGCAGACTGGGTTATACTTCTTATGCATTAGGAGTGACTTTCACAAGCAGAGAAATACAAGAGAACTGATGCACTTCTTCTTCTCTCCCAGTGAAGGGTTGAACAGAAAGTGCCCTGCAATTTGCCCTCCTTCAGCAGGATACCCATGGCTGCAATATACACTACACGAACATGGCTCTCCACAGGGGACCCAGGGAAATAAGAGAGAACAACAGCTTTGCAAGAAGTTGCCAAAAGGCTGCAGCTGTATTTAGAAATGGTAAAGTAAGCCTTTTCTTCTGCTGTACAATCAGAAATATACAGATGATGTGGATTTCAAAGAACAAAATCCAGCTACTTTTGCACTGACATACTGCTCTTATGATTCCCTACTGATCTCAGCCAAAGAGGGTTTTAAAAGTATGAATGTCAAAATGTCAACCACACTGCTTCTTCCCACCTAAGTTGTAGCTCTTGTTTACATAAGCAATATGCAGCCAAGGGTTTGAAAGGCCTGTCAGGGCAACTGAATGGAGCATGAATCACTGTGCTGGGCACTGCTCTAAATGCTCCTTCTTCCTTCTTCCTCATTCTCGAAGGTCAGATAAACGGTACCAGGACCTGCATCTGAAGCTTTTCTCAGCCTGATAAAAGACAGAATCTTTCTGGGAAGGCTTTGCATAACTGTAGCATAAGCTGAAACCAGAAAACACACCTTAGAGCTAACCTTAGATACACATCTGCTTCTTATCAAAAGTTTTCCTCTCCCCCCCACCGCAATCTTTTAACTTTTTTTGGGTGTTTGAATCCATGTAAATTTTTACCATCAGGAGGTAGGAAATAATGTTTACATAATCTGAGGCAAACACCATTCATAGAAAACTGTGAAAACCTCCACAATACTTTCCATTTACTAATTAGTGCCAAGCATTGCGTCATGCTTACTCTCCAATAAGCAAATTCCATGTGTCAGTCTCTACATGGACATTTCTTCAGTGCATATCTTTCAAGACAAAGAAATTAAGGGAGGCTTCTGCCTTCTTCAAAGCAGTCAGTTCTTTAAAGCTTGCAGAAGTATATATCTGCAGTGGCAGCACTCTCAAAAAGAACAAGAAAATGCAAAATGGCATCTGAAACTGTAAACTTAATTATGTTTAAAGAAATAACTGCATCTATTCTGCAGACAACATGCAGCAGTGGTGTACACAGATTTTCAAAGACTCATATACAGGAAGTATCAGGCTGTAACATCACTCAAATATAAAAATGCAGAAACCCTGGTGAGTTCATGAACTACCATGAACAGCAATCTGCAAATTTAAACAGGAGTACAGAGATTTTTATCAAGTGAGGTGGAAAGCAGCAAACATAACCTGAAGGAAAGACAGAGATGCAATGCTGAGCACTGTGTTCAGTCACAACATGCAAGACAGATTTGATGGTTGAAGGTAGAGCACTTTACAGTTTCACAGAAAAAAGAAAGATGAGGTGTGTCGGCTGAAAGATGCTGCTAGAAAAACCGGCTTCAAAATATAGAATATTTTCCTAGCAGTGATTATAAATACTGGAATATTTTCAGGAGAAATCATGTGCTGCCACTTGAAAACACGTGAGAGTACAGGGGTCTTTCATTTAGCTTCTGTGAGACCCATTATAGGTCACAACAGATGACTGCAGAGCTCCCCTCTGGCCTGACTCTCCATGAATCTGCAAATTTTACAGCTTCATCCTGTGGGGCCGAGGCATTTTGGCTCCAAACCAGCAAGGCACTTATGCAGATGCCGAAATGAAAGCTGGCTTTCCTCACTGGAGCAGGGCCAGCATCATCAGCCTCTTGCAGGACAAGCCCAACCATCTTTAGCCATCTCAGTGTTTGACCACTTTGGGGTTTCTTTGCCACAGTAGCAATAAGAAGCTTACAATAGCAGGAGCTTGAAAATCTTAAACTTCCAAAGCAGTGGGATACTTTTAACTCTTGCTTATCTTGCATCAATTTTGCTGAGATAAACAGGGATGAGTATGCCGGTGTCGAGTTTTTTTATTGTGGTTACACTTGGCAATAATTTAATTGAGATCAGGAAAGACAAATCGAGGCAAGGTACTCCAGGAAGATGAGCAAATGAAAAACAATGCTTTTCTCCAAAGAGAAACTTAATTTAATTACTCACTTGAAAAAAAAGATTAAATCAATACCTCATGGCTACAAATACATGTATGCTGGAAGAATCTAACTTGAACCATTCTGAGTAGCAGTCTGAAAAGGATGTGAGGCATTAGGAAGGTTCCAACATATATACACACACACACACACAAACATACATACATATACAGAAATACACCAAAGAGTCATTAGAAAAAATTAACTGGAATACAGAAAAAGGGTCCTGTAAAAACCCTGAAGTTCAGAAAACAGGGTGGAATATGCAGTTTTTATGAAACTGCATATTAGAGGCCAATTTGAAAACAAACAATCCAAACCCCATCTGGCCTAATTGGATATTATATACATTATTGCATCATATTATTAAATTAAATTAATTACAAACTTTTACCTTTCCTTCTTAAAATCAGCATGATATCCTTTGAAGCTGTCATTTACTCTCAGGTTGTAACAGATAGTTAATTTCTGGTGGTCCAAACCTATTGGCAAGCATTTCATTCAAGTATCCATAACATTTTCCTATCTTTTGTCTTCCCCTAGTGCCTTACATAATTCAAAAGAGTATTTTGATTGTTCAAAACAATTTTTTTTTCTGGTTTGGGTTTTTTTCCCCTTTAAATTTTTTTCTTAAAGCAAGCTGATAACTGGTTGGTTATTAGGAGTTTGCTTTAGCTATAGCAATAAATGTTTTGCTTTTGATGAAATAGAATGAGATATATCATGTATTTTCAAGAAAGGACAACATTGGCCTAGGAAATTCTGAGCTAAGCACATTTCCAAGATTTTGCAGTTGATTTAAGAGGATAGAAGTGAAAATAGATCTATCTGAATTCATTTTTAAGAATGGAAAGAAAGAAAATTTTAATTCACCTTTTAATACTTATAACAGCAACTCTGCTTTATCCATTTAAGTGGAAGAAACAGAAATGGGATGGAAATACACCCAACCTTTAACACCAAGTCAGACAGAAAGGCTTGAGATTGAGCGGGAAATCAACACATTTAGATTTTTTTCCATTTTCCCCCCAGTGTTAGAAAAAATCCGGTCAGAAGTTATTTCCAGTACTCATTCAGAACAGCTTACATTTATCTCCTTCATTCTGTCTGCAAAGGAACTGTTGTGAAAACACTGATTAATTTACAAACCTGTCAGATTTGGTCTCCTGAGGTGGTGACAGAGTTGTCCCATAACGAGTAGTGGGTGTTGTAGGGGCACTCACACCAGCGTAAGGTCGTGGAGAAGAGTAAGAGCTGCTGCCATAGCTATTGTATCTGAAGAAATGGGAAGAAAAGAAGGAGAAAGGGAGAGACAGAAAAAAACGGTCAGCAAACAGGCATGCAATAGTAAATCCTCTTGTTTACGAGGGGATAATGACTCCATACCCCAGAATTTTTCAAACACTGACCTTCTGAAAATGTTGCTCTATTTCCAAATATGCAACCAATCGTACTCTTAATATCAACCATGGCATCAACATACATGATGTATCAGTGAGCTACTGGTAAGGAAAATAATGAGAGGTTTGAATGGTCCTCCCAGTTGACAACTCAGAACAGGAATACTTGAATACTGCTCAGTTACTCAGAATTATTAGCTGTTTTGTGAGTGATATCCAACCATTAGAAAAGGGATCAAACCAGCCCAAGACAGCAGTATCCATGTCTACTAAAATTAAGGAAAATGGCAGCACTCCTGAGACATGATCTGAACATGGGATCCATGCCTTGCAAATGTTTGCATTTTAAATGGAAAAGCAACCACATTCTTTTCAATTAAAGCCAGAAGTATTTTCTTTCCCCTCCCCCAACATAAGTAAGAGCTTATGTGCCATTTCTTACCATGCCTGTAAAAAATCATCACCATGGTTAAAAAGACATGTCTCCGGAAGCATGGCTTTAGAAATTTCTATCAGCCCTTCTCTCCATTAAAAAACCCTATAAACTCACTTCACTTCAATGTGAGCTTGCTGATCAAAGAGAAATTGTTTCCAGGACTCCTGGAATGGCCACCTCCCCAGAGTCCTTTCTATCAATGTTTTCATCCTGGCTCCTGTACTGAATAGAAAATTCAGTTGTGTTGCTTTGCTGTGCCTTTTAACCATTGTACTTAAACAGCATGTCAAGAAAAGATTCTTGATTTGGGAAAATGCTAATATTTCTCTCTTTAATACAGTTCACAGACAATGCCATTTTCCCACATGGAAAGCATATGGTGCTCTGAAGATCAGTACTCAGCAGGGTCAACTCATCCAAATTGCAAAATTCATTTCAGGAAATAGAGCAACATCATTGTCCTTATTATACTTCACAAGATATAATATATCCTCTTTCACCATATCTTTTCTCTGCTGCTTCTTCCCTCACACACATCAGCACTCAGTAATTTCACTCAGAAATTTTATTTGAAAAGGCTGGTTGGTTTCCTTCAGCTCCATTTAGCACACTCATCTAGCCATGCAAAATTTCATTCAAAGTTTCACGTTTTTCCTTAGGGTTCAACAGCATTGCTGCCTGCCAAGGCCCATGTTAAAATCAGAGTAGATTTCAGAGAGGTGCTTTTACAATGGAAGGGATCATGCTTTAGAGAACATGTCCTCTGGAACAGCAGTTTCAGGTAAATGCTTTAGAAAACACCTCCCATCCCTCATCTGTTTTTTGAGACACTATACTGACCAGTAACAGGGAAATAATCTTGGAAAAAAATTCCAACATGCATGTTTCTGAGCCACTAAAGGAATTTTGCAGGAAATAATTGCTGTCTGAGCCTTCTTGCCCTACAAGAAAACTAACTAGAAACTGGAGACAGTGGTCCACTGGAGGCTGTGTAACTGGACAGTGTGGAGCTTCCCTGGTAGCACAGACCTAGCTTGGGTCTTCTCTCCGACAGGTTCAGCCCAGGAAATGTTCTGACTGTGCCTGTACTGAGTTACAGATGAGTAAACTCCACTGTCCTGATAAGAACTCAGAACTCATTTGGTATGTTCCTGACACAGAAACCTCCATTTCCATTTTGATTGACTGCAAAGAGACCTTCTTATCAACCATTACATGTGCTTTTCTTCTCCTGTGCCCCATGAAAAAGCTGACACAGAGCAGAACCCTTTTTCATACCAAGGGTTTTCAATTAGTCCAAAGATAACTCTCATGAAATGGAGGGAATTCACCTCCTATGGAGTCAGACCGACAACGATTAAAAAAATTAAATTCAGAGGGACTGGTCCGGACACCACATCCTACCAAATTTAGAGGAACACTGAGTTGCTGTAATAGGAGCAAGGCAAGACTAGAATACCAGGCTAAGTCTGTATGCTGTACACAAAGTTTATCTTTCTAAACTTCCTCTGGTACTGACTATTGCTTCCATTTTCCCTTCTTGTCTCATATACCAGTATAGATGCAATAGTCTTATCCAGCAGCATTCACCCTCAAGACATTTTCCTCTTTTATGGGCATATTATTGAATAAATTGTGCAGACTTTGCCCTCCTTTTTCTCCAGATAAACCTGGAAGAATCTCCATCCCCACCCCCACCCCTGAACCTCTGTCCTAAATGGAAGCGGAAAAGATGGTTAGAGGAAAAAACAAAACACTGCAGAAATACTAAATATTGGAGGAACAGGAGGTATTTAGGAATCTACTCTCTAAAGTATAACAGCAGCAGCAATGGGAGACCAATAAACGAGTGTGAGAGGTCTAAGGGAAAAGTGCACCTATCAAGGAAAATGTAAATTTAGAGGAATTCCAGTGTTCAAGTTGCAGGTAAAGGAAAAATATGTGAACTAAGTCACTTGTCAACAAATACTTGGATTTACAGACTTTTCACAAAAATGAAAAAGGGACAAAACACACCCACCTATTAGGAGAGAAAGATCAAAAATTAAAAGGATCAAAAGAATCAAAACATTTGTTCACATGCAGAAACTCAGAAGGACTGCTGGAGAGAGGAAGAAATAAATACGCATGCAATATAAATGTACATTTTCAGCACTTAATTCAGACAACACTAACAACTGTAAGAGACAGCAAAAAATCATCAACCTCTTTCCAAGGTGATTCTCTGTCATTGTTTTTAGTGCTACTTACTGTCTATTTCTTTTACTTGAAAACAGATGAGACAATACAATATTTTTTTTGTTTTATTTTAGAGGGATGGGATGGGGAAATTAAAGTAAAAAACTAAGATAAATGCATGAGGAACAAGTAAATTCCACAGATGTTGTGGAGATAAAACTGTCTATTCTGAGTGCTTTGTTATCTTTATAGATCTCTTATTGCAAGCATGAGCTGAAATTGCACATGAGATGGACATGCACTGTAATCAAACAACAAATTTAGGATTTGGCAGTTCAGCCTTTGAAGCCAGGACTTCACCCCTGAATTTCAAGCTGATCTGACCTCTCTTGATTTTATAACAGAAGAGCCCCATTAATTTTCATGAAAACATGTCTGCAAATTACACTGTTGTAAATGATAGCAAAATGGTGCTCCTTTCTGTGATCTCCCAAACCATGGGTTATTTACCCACTGCTTTACAGAGGAGGCCAGGATATTTATTAACTACAGACCTGGAAGAAGAGTAATGATGTCAGCAAATCAAAATACTGGCTTACAGGGCTAAAATTAGTACAGCATGTTCTGGAAGTAATAGAACACATAGAGTAGCATTATTAACACTGTAAAATTCTTGAAAGGTTTTATTCATTTATCTGAAAATTATTGTTAGCTATATAAAATCTACCTGTTTTCCCTCATCATTTCTGCTTCCTTCTCTTTCACAGATGCTGGAGAGTCTTCAAAGTCATATGAGAAGAGATGAAAAGGAGTGTGTGGTACATAAGGTAATTTCTCCACTGTTGGAGATGCCTTTGGAGTAATGGATGCTGAGGAATTTTGGGGAGAGCTCAGCAATGCTGTTGCAGGTGAAGACGGTGATGAAAGGACAGAATTATGATGAGAGACAGATGAGTCAGGCACAGAAGAGGAGTTGCTAGAAAAGCTCTTTGCTCTAGAGCAGGTGAGAGGCCTCTCAACTGGAGAAATGGCACTGGAGACAGCTGAAGAGTCAGAACACTGTGAAAAGCTTTCCTTCACAGTCTCATGCACATCTGGAACCTCACTGCAGGAGGAAAAAATCATTAGAAAGGGAAGCGGAGAGAAAAATGGGGTGAAGGGAGATCACAGATAGTATCACTTGCTGGGGAAAAAAAAGAAGAAGAGTCAGACAAACAAAAACTTCCAAAATTTAGACAATCATCACATCTTTTTAAATAAAGAGAACTCACATCTTTGTATCCCAGTGGGATTCTTCGTGCAGTTGGAAAGACTGGGGGAAAGAAGCAACTTATTCTAAAGGAAAAGAGGGGATTTAACCTATAGGCTTCAGAACTAATTTTCACAAGCCTTTTTACACCTATTTTTGGAACAATTTTCACATATTTCAAGTTAGGTTGTAAATGTTGTCAGAGCAGTACAAAGCAGACTGAGCACACTAGAAAATACTCCATGGAGTACAGATGCTTCAAGATACAGTCTGCAGGACTGCTTCTCCAAGTCCAGAGAGCTCATGTAGATATCTTGACTCTCTGATATCTGACTATCATCCTCCTTGGGAATCTGATATATTTACTAAAAATGTTAATCCAACAAAGATGAAAATAAAAAAGTACTCAATTAGCACTCTTCTGTAAAAATTCAAGTTTAGAATGATCTCAAAAGCAACACCTTAACAGATATTTTTCTAGGTATGAAGGCACTAATTTCTGGTTTCTCTGAGTGTCAGCATTCCATGCTGGTCTTTCATAGAAACTTGCAGACTTTGCATCAAAGAAAACAGAAAACACATCTGCTTTGCTGTACTGAAGGGAGATGATGGTGAGTGACAGAAGGCACAAAGCAGGTGAAAAGCCATGGGATGTGCACTGCCAGGTGTCTGTTTTCACTAGAAACTCCAGCACAAACACTGTGCATGGGCTTTGGTCTGGATCATTGACGTGGCTGATTTCATTCTCCCAAGACCACTTCTGCAATCCCCCAGCTGGCATGGAAGGCACAGTCCTTATTTGAGAACTGTAGACTTGGCGCAGCATAGGCAACAAAAACACAATTTGTGTTAGATATGTTGGGAACTTAGGCAGTTAATCATCAGGTAATTGTTCTCACAATGGAAAATCTGGAAACCTTCATCTACCGCACCTGCTGTGCTTGACAGGAGACACTGAAGCCATTCCAGTCCTACCTGTCAGCATCTAACACAAATAGCCACATTACAGATATTTTTTTTTATGCTACAGAGACAGTGAAAGAAGGTACTTAGGAAAGTCATGGGAATATCACCCAGTTACCTTAAAGAGATAATTATCTTAAAAAGACCAATGACCTAAAAACACATTATGCTCTTCCCATTTCTTAGTGAGGCTCTTCCTCACTTTTTAAAGCAGTATTTTACTACACTCATGAGATTTACCAGTAACTTGTGTCTTAGCTTTGACTTTTAAGAATCAGATTTGCGGAAATTATCACTTAATTTTGAAGTTTCAGGCAGCCATTGGCAAGATTTGCAGACTGGAAGATAATAATAACAAAAGTACAGTATTTTCTTTGGAATTCACACATTAAACAGTTTCCTTTCTTCCTTCTGTGCTGTACAGCATCTGCATGAATGTGGTTTATTTAAAAAAATAAATTCCAATCTCATTTGCCGAGTTGCAAAGCCAAATAATTTAACCTAAATCAAACGACTGTCTGGAACAAAGAACGTATTTTCTTGCTTCCAGTTTATTAGGATCAAGTTGCCAAATGCCAAAATCATATATATATATATATATATCTCAGAAATAAGTGGAAAATTTTTACACAAGAGTATTGATATGTGATGAAGAATATTGATTGGTGATTTACTTATATCTGTATATACTCAGATGAGCAGACATTTATAATATTTTATATATACATATGTATGTATATTGGTATATATTATATACACATGTATATCAGTTTTGCCTCAAAGTAATTCTTTGCTGTTAAAACATGAACGAAACTTACATGGAATCTAAGGCAGCATTCAAAAATTGTCAATTTACTGCATAGCAACAGATATTCCTAATAAAGTAGTATTGTGAAGATAGGGATGAAAACCTAAGAAACCAAGCAACATCCTCAGCTAAGCATTGTAGTGTTTCATCATTGCCTTAACTAGAAAGTTAAATCAAACCATGCTTAAAGTTATGCTTTTCAATAAAGCTTTTAGGATTTGTGAGCCTCACCTAAAGGGAGTGAGTGCAGACAGTTCATAGTGCACTGAACCTATATAATTGAGTGTTTCCATTAGCACTGCCACTCCCCAGCCCCTTCCCCAAAGCTTTTAAATGCAAAAATATTTCTGTGGGGGGTGGCTTTAACAGGTGATCAAGGAATGTGAGTGAAAAGGTGGATGCCACTGCACACTGTGCTTGTGAGTTCATGCCAGAGCCTGAAGAAAAGGTGGAGGGACAATTCTGAATCCTGGTACCTGGCTTTGACCTGCCTATCGGCCTCTTCCTCCCCCTCATCCTCAGTATTGGGCTCTGTGACTGGCTGTTCTTCTTCTTCCTCTTCATACTCGTCCTCTCTGAGGTCAGACCAAGGAAAGAGGCATGCAGTGGGATGGAAAGAAAGAAAGTGAAAGAGAAACAACATGAGTCCCCAGGAAAAGAAATGCAATGAAGTTAGAAATGGAAGGAAGAGACTGATGAAGAGGGAGTTACGGGCCTCTTATGTTAGCCACCTAAAACTTCCTGCTAAGTATGTGTTTGCGCAAGGGTAGCTACCGATATAAAACTGCCATCCTCTCCCCTATTTACATTTTTTACTATTATTTGAAGATTCAAAGCTGCTATTGGTTTTTCATGAGCTTTACCTTCCATTTGCAGCTGCCCTAGCTGCAGAGGCATTAATGGAAAGCATTCATGACAATAGCAATGTTCAACTCATTAGTCATTAAGTTGTGTCTTTTTGGCCTAAAGGACAGTACACGCTGTGCTGGCATGGGACAGCTGGCACTGGACATCACTCTTCCTAAATTAACCCAAATAAAACATTCCTGCTAAGTAACCAATAGCTCAACTGGAAAACAGAACAGGGTGAACCACTGAGTTAGAAATAACAGAGACCAAATCAGTTCAGGACTATTAGCAAATAGCAATATTTAAGTTATCAGATGCCAGTACATTAATTATTTCAGTAAAGTCATTACTATGGTCAAAGCAGGCTTCAGTTCAGCAGTAATTCTGGCAGGAGAGAAGTGTAAGTGATGCATAAAGCCTCCACAACCTACAAACCACACAAGTAAAATAGGAAAACTATATTAAACATAATGAAAAATCTACACCTCCTATCTGCCTCCTATCCATCATATCTATACTTTTCACCTTCCCAAAGCAACAGACCCACAGAAGATGCATTTCCAGTTGATACAGGTCTCCACTTGATTTAATGACGTATACAGCATTAGGTTATGCTCCATACAAAAAGAAAAACATACAATCAGTAATGAAGTTTGTAAGGCACTTATATTCCTTGCATTTTCCTGATAGCTTGTTTTCTTTCCTCTGATTCTGAAGGGATGCTCTATGGCTTTTTCCATTGAGAATTAGCGTCCATGTTATAAAAATAATGAATATTTACAGTGTGAGATCATGAACTCATTGAGTGCAATGCAAAGGGTCAATCCAAAATCTGTTGCATTTATGTGGAGTTAGTCACAGAATAACCAGGCAAATGGCAGCACCTGGAACTCTTCCAATATTCTGGCAAACATTTACAGAGTAAACTCTTTCAACCATTCCTAAGGTGCCTTAGTGACATAACCATCTCAGTTGTCATCTCATCATCTCCCTGTCCTGCCCACAAATACATACCTCCCTTACACAGACACCTCTCAACTTTCACACATTTACTCATTTACTGGAAAAAAGAAAAGAAAGAGTTGAACCAGGGAGCATTCATATAATCCCTTCTTACTAGCTCAAGCTCTGCTATTTCCTGTGAAGGGAAACTTCTGTATCTTCTTGTCCTACAGCACTCAGATTTAAGAAATAGCTCATGAAGCTCTGTAGGAGCATGGTTATCTGTTTAGAGCACAATGCATCCTGTAATGCTGGCAGCACAGCTACTGCTTATATGAACAAGAGTGTCCCCATTATTGCTTTGTTTAAAGCTCCCACCAGGATTCCACATTGATGATGTCAAAATTTCTTCTCTCCTCAATTGTCTCAAAATACCAAACATCATTTGTGAAATACTCATTTGATATGGTGGATCTCATAAATTTGAAAGAGTTCTTTGAGAATTTATTCCACTTTATGAGGGCATGGCTAAAACAACAGGAGTTTACACAGCACGGAGAAAGAAGCTGAAAAAAAATTTAGAGATTTCAGAGTGATAATTCTTCTGTCACGCCAATGACTCCTTCCTCAAAGGGTCCTTGATTTCTAGGTCAAAATCTCAGAAGAAGCTTTGATTGGAAAGCTCTTTTCCTTTGCTAATATTAAGTGTAGGATGGCAGCAACTACATGACAAGTGGTTGGAAAAGCCAGAGGAAGGATCTGGCTCTGTGTGACTTGGTAGCAGAGATGATTGGTGTGCACAGAGGCAGGCACACCCTCCAACCAGGGGAACCAATGTGGTCAAGAGAAACTTGCACAAAGGAAATAAGTGAGTGCATAGGGGAGATGCTCAGCACTCTTTTAGCAACGAAACTCACAGTTTCAGAGTCCTTGAGTATCCCCAGAAGAGGGCTCAGATACAGATCAGAGGAGAGGGGTAAGCTCACAGGCAGAAATTATGTGTGCTCTTCTTTTAAACAAAGAAACAGTGGCAGTCATTTCAGTCTTGTCAGAGGACAGATATTCTGTCCAACAAAACAGGTAGTACCTGCTAACTGAATCATCCCTAAAAGGTAGAAAAGAAACATTTCCTTGTGAATACTTATCAAAATGGGAAAACACTAACTAGAGTCAGATGCTCAAACACAACAGCAGACAGGTTTGTGAACTCATGTGAAAGGCTCAGAGTTATGTGTTCATTTTTGTATGCAGTGGAGAAGGGATGGTGTGGAAAACCTCATTGTCCCTCTCACATACAGATGCAAATTTGTAGTCAATGCAATAGTGGAATTCAATGAAGAGAAAAGGACTCATAGGGAGGTTTCCAATTAAATGAGGTTGCAGAAGCCAGCATGGTTTTTAGTAGCAAAGGAAACTGTCCCATTTACAAAAGGCAAATATTTATCTCCAGTGGCAGGGAGGAAGGCCTTCAGCTAATGTTGAAGGATCAGATACATTCAGCTAACCTTAAGGCTATTCCTGGGTTACTTCAGTTCCATGATAAAAGCATCAGGTTAGAAATATTTAAACAAAAGCTTTATAGCACTGAAAAAAATTTCAAAACAATCACTCTGTTTATTTTCATCTTTAAAATGCACTACTGCTCCAGGCTAAAAAAACTAAAATAAACAAAACTCCACCCCCACCCCCCCCACTAATCTTTATAAAGTGTGTCATTGGTCATGGTGACTAATAAACATCTTCTAAGGCATAGGTTTTGCTTAGTTGTTTCAATTAAAATTTGACATTCAAGTATTTATAGCCCCTTAAAATATTGTGCATATTAAAAAAGACTATGAAAGCGCAGTTTATGGAGAGAGAACCACCAGACAGCAAAACAAAATGATGACAAAGGGTTTAGAATTAAAGGATTAACTTCTCTCCTTTTCAGAATGAAAACTTGCCCAGCTGATATTAAATAGCTATTCAAAGCTGCAAAGAGAAAAGCATTAATAAATACAGACTGATGAAAAGAAATTATAAGAAACGTACTCTTCTACAAGTTTAGCTGAAGGCAGGGACAGAGTCCTTGTGATGCCAGGCCTTGCACCTCACACACATCTAACATAGTAAAAGCTGGATGATTTTAAAAGTAAGAGCACTCTGAAGACAACGGCTCTTAGTCCACAAGAACTCAAAGCACCAAAACTTGCTCTCTATTCCACTGGACGCTGGAGCTGAGCAATGTGTACAAGGTTTTGTGTAGTCTCTGTCTTCTCCAGGCTCTCCCCAATCTCCTTGCAGAGTTTTGATGAAGGCAGCTTGAAAGAACTCAGGATTTCTTTCCACTTTGTAGCCCAGAAACACAGGTTTCTCACTACTCGCTTCCAAAAAAATCATAAAGTTAGAGCTAAAAGAAAAATCAAAGGCTGTCCTGAAGGAACAAAAAATGCCCCAAAACAAGCAAACAATCCCAACCAAACCAAACAAAAATCCATACCAACAAAATAAGCATGACCACAGAAACATTCTGCTTTGCTCCACATCAAAGAAAATGCTGAAAAGGTAAGATATGCTTCAAATAATTTTAATTCATGATGGATTTAACCAGTAATGAACAGAATATAAAACAATTGAAAAAACTATCATCTTGCCACAATTAGGCTACCAAGGCTTTGGTCAGCACATACAATGCATATAGAAGCTAACTCATGAGAACTAGTAGATGATCTTTAGGTCCCTTCCAACACCAACCATTCTATGATTCTATGACCAGGACTACAAGCCACATTCAGTGAAATAAGACTGCCATTACCCATTTCACAATATAATTTTAAATTGCATACTACAGCTGATCTCATAAGCTTTCCTTTTCCTTTCCACCCTCTCTCCTGAAAACCTCTGACTTCTTTTACCTCGTGCACAGCAGCATCCCTGAACTTCAAGTGAACAAAAAAAAAAACACCTGAAAAATGTTCCATCAAGGAAAGATATAAGTCACAGCAGATGCCATTTTATTTTCTCATGCCATTGCTTGCCATTTTCTTCAATTTATGAGTTCAATTCCACTTCATAGCTTAGATGGCACAATTCATAACCAAATTCTTAAATCCTTGTAAAATAAACAAATGCTTTAGTACATTTCTGTTGCTTCTTCTTTTCTTCTATCCTAGCTGCCAAAACAGATTCAACTAGTCCTTTAGGTGAAAGCTAAAAGTGGTAATAATTCAAATTCAACATTTATAAGTCTGTATAAAGATACAGCAATACACTTTCCTCCTCCATTAAAATAAAACTAAAGAAACCACCTATTAGCCCCACTACCTATTTCTATTCCACTGCAGTTGGTACAATTATGTGAAGATGAAATTACATTAAATTATATGGATAACAATGTACTTACAAAGCCTCAAAATTTGACTTTTTGCATACAGGAAGACTAAGGTGACTAATTACAAAGGTCAAAAGGAAAATGATCCTGGTATTTCTGCCCTAAATAAAGAAAACAGTTCAGAAAAAAGGTGAGGCAATGTCAAAGGCTGTGAAGTACATGCACTCATTATGCTTTCATATCTGTCCTTTATCTTTAGCTTCCTGTTACTTTTTTATCCCTAAATTATGATCAGCAACAGATTTTCACATCTAAATAATACCTAGGCAATGCCTCCAGACTTGTTTAATGCTGCAGTTAGTTTATATAGGACACATCAAAGCAGAGCAAGACAGCAGAGCATTGCTTAAGATACTGGCAAGGCTTTGCAAAGACTTCAAGAGTCACAACATTCTGATCATTGAACAGCATTGCTGTTTTACATTTCTAAGAGCAGAGAGGTAAAGAAACAGAATAACAATGCAGACAGACTTTTGGAGCAATATATACTGAAACATACACAGAAAGAGAGAAGAAATGTTATTTTCAGAGCTTGGAAGAACACGTTGGTTAACAGTTGAAGGCCACTGTTATTCACCCTTCAAAGGGAAATGGCATCCTACCAAATCCTACCAAGCTACTGTCTTTCCTACATCCCACCTCCCCCCACCCCCGGCCCTTGCATCCTGTGTGTAAAAAGCCTTTCCTGTTCTCAGAGGATCATGTTTACAAACACTGGGAACACACTGAAGAGGTGAACTCTCTAAGGCATGTACACTCCAGTGCATAAGACACTACCATAATGATCCAAAAAAATGCATTCACACCCTGGTCTGGCATTGCATTTCCTCAGGTAGCTCATGAAAGCCAAACACACAGTGGAAAAAACCAAAGTAAAATATTTAGGCTAAGTCATGCTGTGATTTCATTTGCCATGCAGGTATAATCCATTTAAACTTCTGTGCTTTCTTGATTTCTCCTCAAGTCCAAATAGGAAAATCTACCATTGCCTTTACAGCAAAGTGCACTGCTGTTAACTGGACTCTGCATGTATACCAAGCATAAAACACTTCCTTCAGCAAGACATGCAGCCAGAAAAGAGTATCCCGACTAGAAAACCTGACACACCTACAGAGATGTTTTAATTCATATTAAAAAAAAAGCTGATATCAACTTGAAATAGTAATTGGACCTGGACCTGAGATACTCATCAAGTTGTAAATTTTAATTTTTTTTGTTATTATTATTTACTGGGTCAATAGTGGGTCAATCCCTATCTATACATCAGTGCTGTCCTTTTTTATGGTATGGCTTCAAAAAATTTTTTTCTTAACCTATCTTATGTATTTTCCTCTACTGCATTCTTTATGGGAGCTTCCAAGATATTCTTACAAAGAGTAAGATTGCAAATTTCACACTTTTAGGGTTCTCCTTTAGAATCTGCTTGCCTTAATGCTTCAAATCCTACCTGCACTGGAGAAATTAATGTGTTATCCTGCTCCAAACCTAAAATAGCAGGTTGGATTTTTACATGGTATTGTTGTCAAAGACTAATAAAGATCTGATGCTACAAACAGACACTACCTTGGCTACCTTACCAAGCCATTTCATTTCCTAGATAAATCTTTCCAAAACCTCTTCTTTTTTATATCCCATTTTCATTTTCACCCATACCAACCAAACTGTGAAAAGTTATTATCTCTCTCTTAACTGATCATATGCCATTCAATGTCAAAGCACACCCAAATGCTAGGTGGCTCAGCTCATGTATATGTGTATGTCTGTGTGTACATACATGTATTAAAGAGATTCACATCCAAAGATATGTGCCTGCGTGTTTATCCTGGAGATGTTTTCTTTCTCTAATTTCATGCCTCAGTTGTTTTAAATATCCAAAACTAGGAACCAGAGATAAACATCAAGGAAAAAAAACCCCAATGTGTTTCTTTGTATTGCAGCAATAAAAAAGAAATTAACTTCTTCTCTCATGTGGGCCTTTAGTAATCTATATCACAACCTGAGTCTTACATCAAATGATGATGTTGAGCCTCCCCACTTTGCTGTTTCATACCTATATACCACTCATCATATTTGACACAGACAGCAACTCTAAGAGTTCCTAAATAAAATAAACCCCACCCACAACTGTATCTTTGATCTATACCTATTAAGTATTTATACAATCAAATCTTTTCTTATAGGGTTGTGGAAAGTCACCAGAACTGAAACATCATGACAAAAACTAGAACTTTTCCATAGTAAATACTAGAGAAAAAGAAAAAATTAGTTATGGTTTGGGATGTCTGAAAACATGGAAAATCACGATAATAATAAAAACAAGTCTTAGCTGTATCTTGGGCAAACCAACCCTGCAGCCCTGGCTCTACATGAAGCAATTTGAACAATCAGTTAATGAGGCCTAATAAGCAAACTAAGGTCTGTGCTGTTGGTTAGAAACTCACCAGGAATCCAAAGTTGAGCCGAAAAAATGCTTAGCATCAGAGGCTCAGCTGTATTCATTGTTTTCTGGTAAAACCAAAATAGCATCACGATCTCTGCCTGCATGTTGGCAATCCTCAAACATCAGAAACATGCATTTTCTAACAAACAGGACCTTACAACTTCTCAGCACAGCTTTCCTTTATTTAGACAACTATTTCCCTGCTTTTTTCTAGGACCATAAAGGGTGTTAAAGACCTTGAGTCTAGGGTGCACTGTGCAATCGAGCTGTGTCCAGCTGGCCTAGGAATTTGTGGGCAACTTTGGAATTCCCTGTGCTACTCTTTGCTCATAGGAAGAGTCCTAACAGGCTTCCAGGCAGGACCCTAAAAAAAGCAAAGTTCACAGATACATAATACCCTGTTGGCTTCTCTGTTGTTTTTATCAATATAGCTCTCCTGAAGGCCAGCTTTCTTCAAATTTAAAAATCTGGAAGCCTCAGGTGGACCTGGATTGTTGGTCTTCTTCATATGTATTTAGCTTCATGACCATGAAGCTTAGTAGACCTACTAAGAGAAAGCTTACTAAAGCCAGCTTTGGTCACTGATGCAGAATGCAGGCTGCTCTCTGTTAAGTTCTTAAGATGGCAGTCAGTTCTTTCATTTGTTAGGTGTCAAACACAGGAATACTGAAAAGAAATTTCTAACCATGGCTAGGTTATCTCTACCTGAATGTATTTAGTGTTGTAAGATCAATCTTAGCAATTCTTTGGTGATTTTTGAAAATATAAAACAAATCAAAGTTATGGAAATAAAAAGCAGACGCTAGTAAAGAGAGGAAAATAGCTAATCCTAGCTATTTACAACTTCATAAACCTCAGTGTCTGACCTGTAACTAATTCCATAGCGATGGAGCTGTTCATTCAAATGCTGGTAAGAGGTGTCAGTGTAAATCTCCCAGAAGCTTACTTGAACATGTTTGCTAAGGTCTGGCTGACACAGCTCTGATGGGACACCCAGGGCGAGAGATGAATGCGGTCTCTGTGCAGCACTTAAAAAAGGGAAATGCACAACAAAACGTGAAACATTAATTTGAAAAACTGGAAGGAGCACTTGTTTCTGATTTGGATGTACAGAACTCAGAGAAGCTGTGCTGTGCTCAAGTCAGCACTGAGAACTTCTGAGCAGGCTGCCTTTTACTCTCTGAAACCCAGTCAGGATGAGATTAAAAGACAGAGAGACAGAAATTTGCCTTTTAATGCTTGTTTAGCCAGAAATCACTGCATACAGTAACAACATAAATCTAGTGCAAATCCCATGCCACTTCCTTGCATTTTTCTGACTCTATCCATGGTGTGGCTGGAAAAAGCTAGCTTTACTTTAAAAAGAGAACAAATAAACACAACCCATGAAGAATTAGTTTAAAAGTCTACTGCATAAGAAGCAGCATGCTAGACCACAGGCTGAGAGCTCTCAGTTTGGACCACGGCAGAAAACCTTAGGAGGTAGCTCCAGAACAGCATTAAAACATCATGTTAAATAGGACTGAAGTGTCTTATTTCTCTTACCATGATGGCATTGGCTTATTCCACTTATTGGTGGAATTGGTGGAATTCCACTTATTGGTGGAATAAGCCAATGCCATCATGGTAAGAGAAAGAAGTTTTAGCAAAGCAGACCTGCTGCTGGTCAGGGCAGGCATCTTAAAATGCGCTGCAGTAGGTACAGACCTTTAAATCAACCTTCAGCCTTTCTTACTTAGTAGCTGTTATCTGCTTCTTTACTTACTTATTTAGTAACAGGCACATCAGGCTGGGCTTTGCTCTCCATGAAAACTATTTTAACACAAAGCAGATTTGGATCCTTATTTGTTTTGAACCACAGGCGAAAAAACAATACATTTAGTTTGGAAAAAGGCTGCCAAGTGGATGAAAAAGGCCTGCAAGTTTTCCTTTTGGTCGCCCTTAGCATTTACTGTCAACTTTTCCCAACTCAAAACCCAAAGTCTGCTCTCAATTAGCCTGGTGTAGATCAGACCAACTCCATTGACTTCAGACAACTTTTCTGGATATATGGCATTATGAGACAGAACAGAATTTGGCCAATATTGTCCTTTTTTTTGTTGTTTTACCGGCACCACAAATTTCTCTCTTTTTGGAAGACTTATCGGTTGACACAAAGCAGATGACTGTGGACAACCTGTTTGATGTGGTAAACAAAAGCAAAGCCATTGCCAAAACAGCTGATGAGCTAAAACAAAAAGAAACATGAACATTGTGGGAAGGAGAATGATGGGAAAGAACTTGAACCTTCTCCTGATTTTGGAACAGAAGTCCAAAAATAACCTAGAATATTTCCCAAAATAAAATTTAGTACAGTGTATAACTGCGACTTCAATCTCTAACCGTGTTCATCAGAAGCAATTCCACTGGGTCTAATCCACTGTAAAACCAGACATAAGACATCTGCAGCCACACACAAATTGTAGAGCTTTCAGCAGGAGCAACACAGGAAGATTATCATTAGTACTGTTACAATTCCTACTGGGAAAGAAAATGTAGTGAAGGAATAAAGACTGAAATCCATTTTGTAACTATTTTTGGGAAATAGTGCACTGCAAAAACTCACGACCAATTTTTTTCTTTTCTCAAGAGGAACCACCAAAAAGTCATTAGCAGGAGACTGTTATTTCATGGCTGAATAGAAGTCACTTTCAATTTACAGAGGTAATAAGTGATTTTTATCCATTTGTATAGATTCCTCTCTACAACATTAACAATGGAAGCAACAGGGTCATAATGAGCATTTCTTTTGACAAAATCAAGTGATGCCTGCATCATATTGTAACACAGGATTTTAAAATTTAAATATCTTGCATTGAAGACTATATGCTCAAATTTGAGAATTTGATTACAGAAAATTTCTTTCCATTTAAGTCTAATTCAAACTGTATAAATGTGTAAAAACCTTAAAGGACACATTCAACTTCACTATTTGTCTGCCTAAACATTAATGAATAGAAGCCATAAGGCTCATAAGGCTTTTTTTATTTTTTTTTTTGGTCGCAGTTTAGCTATCAGGTGTAGAGATACTGTTGCACACATCTGGACTATTTCACTGGAAGTTGAGACTTACTGGAATAAGATAAAGCAGGAAGGCTGTTTTTCCTCTTCCTATCAGAACTACAGATTCAGGCAGATAATCAATCTAAAAATGTGAAGGACAGAATCTGCTTATCTGAAAAGCTTGTTTACCAGAAACACTTTACCAGAAAAGTGAGAATTATAGAAGATCCAACAGTTGACTTCTTTTTATGGTAACTTAAACAATTTCACACAGCATAGAACTTGCATCCTCAAATCCTGAACATACTTTGTAGTCTGTAATGTCCCATAGGAAAAAATCTGATTTGCCAGTTATAAATAATTCCCTGCCTTTATTTGCTAACAGGACTGGAGAATGGGAGTGGGGACTGAGGCAGTATTTTCATTTAACTAATATGCAAAATAAAGATCAGAATCATATGCATTCATAATTGAATGCCTGTTTCCTTACAAAGCCAGGTGAGCAAGTTGGACATTCCAAATGGAATTGAAGAGAATTTCATTATTGTCCTACAGAAGATAACTGCAACACAAAATTAAAATTCACTGCTTAGATAAAGACTTATTTATTGTATTTAAACTTTAATTTTATGCTTTAAAATATGTCACTGTCAAAGAGTATGTGGAGCAGAACTAGATAATTTTTTCTTTCATAAAAATAGCATGATTATTAAAATTATGTTACGTTGGTTAAAAATATTTCAAAGAGCTTCTGGAACTAATCTGTTGTGGTTTTATTCTCTCTATTCTATTCCCACTAAAAATTAGCTCAAACACAAATTTATTAGAAGTTACTGAAGGGTGCAAAATAAAGCTAGCAAGCACACACGATAATAGTGAGAAAACATATTGGTAGAAGTTGTTGTCCTGGATGGCTTCTATTTGTTTAATTAACAGTAAGGGAATAAACCATTTCTGCAGAGTAGAAGCATCTCCTCATTTCTAATCCAAATTCATCAGTTTAACAAAAAAATCATATCAATCATATAACCATAAATGTCTGTTCCACATTCATGGCTACAGATTCCCAGTCACATTGTTAAGTCCTGAAGCAGGGCCCAAGGTCATGCACAAGGCATCCCATGCAGAGCAGCTGAAGCTCCCAGCTGTACTCACACTGAAGATGCTTTAAACTCAGCCTCAAATGCACTCTCATTCTTGTCATCAGCCTGTAAGACTGTGGGGCTCTCAGCTGTCAGCCCACTAAAGACCAGGCCATGGAAGGTGATGGAAAAATGGAAAACAAGCGTTAATTTGTTGTCAAATGCCAAAAGGAAAAAAAAAAAAAAAAGAAAATAAAGTGCTATTTATGTGGCATACAAATTTCAACTACTGTTTTAGTTATCTAGAGTCTTACATTTTTCATATTGCCCGAACCCATTAAACTTCAGTCAACCCAGCTCTCTTTGCAAGGACTGCTTTACATGCAACATAGAATTTTAAGGCTCTAAGTTTACATCCCCTGCTAACCAAGAGAAAACTTCAAATAATTTCCCAAAAGTTATAATTAATATGAGATATGCTCTTGTACAGACCACGCTTTTCAAACTGCATCTTCAGCAGTGAGATGACAACGTCCAAGTTTGGCTGTCTGCATCTATTATGAATCACCACCTGAGCTAGTCAACCAGGTTCCCTTTAGAATCAACAGCCAGTCTCAGAGCTTGATTCATCTTGGTTGAAATTTCAGGCGTGTAGAACACATTAGATAACTGAAGGCCCACTGCTGCTTGCTGCACTTGGCTGACATCAAAGACAGGAGCGCTGATCAGACATGTTACTGTGGTGAATTACTTCCAGCCCTCTTGTGCAGCAGTCAAACACACTGAGGATCTGCAGGTCCTTTTTTTCCTAAGCACACACAGCCTAAACCAACCATCATAGGACTGGCAAAGACACCATCTTCGACTGACTCCACTGTTGCAGACTACTGCTCAGCTAGCCATTACCGCCTCTCTTTTGCTAATTATAAAACATTAGATATATTCACTACTCTGCTGTAGCCTCAAAGGCAAATATTTATGCTGGAATGAAGAGGAGGAAATAAAATAAGAATGAACCATAACATACACAGGACAAATAGCTGTGAATTAACGTTACCACAGTCTTGTTACAATCTTCCGTTATGTGAACACAGTGAATATAAAATCTGTCAATGGATGAAATTAAGCTGAGTTAGTTCTCATACCAAATGCTCTGTGTCGTGTGGTTTGGGTCTACTTAGGATGGATGGTGCCAAAGAACTTAGCTATGCAAGTAAGTCACCTACAAATCCATTTCTTTTTTGTGCTGGTGTTTTAACTCTGAATATGTTTTTGCTTTTTTCATCTTTATTTCAATGAAAAGAGGAAGATAAAGAAAAACCTATCATAGTAATAAAGTGCAATGAGCAGAACAGGACGGGAGAAGAAAGGAGTACCCCTCAGCTCCTGCCCTTACCTCTCACTGAGCTCTTCCACGCGCTGCCCGTGGCTCAGCACGAAGCTGGACTGCCCGCAGGGGCTGGCAGGGGCTGATAAAGTACTCTTGACATTCTGTGCCGAGTGCCTGCGGCTCCGCCGGCGCTCCAGCCCCCTGCGCTCCCCAGCACCAAGGCTGGCCCTCCTCCGATCCTTGCGCCCGCTGGGAGGGGGCTCAGCACTCTCATCTCCATCTTCATGCCTCAGTGTCACCTGAGAAAGAAAGGAAGAAGGTCGACACATTCCCTTCAGCTACCACAGGTCTTCACATCTAGGCTTAAAAATTTCCTGGTCTCAACATGATTAACTCCAATTAGCATCACCGTTTCTACAGCTATCCCTAAAAGTCACTGTCTATCCAATAGTGCAGTGTGGCAGCTCTAACAACGGAATTATATACCGATGCCTTGCATGCAACACTATAGGACCTGCAATAACACATTTATGTACCTCCTAATCTGTGTGTTTTCTTTTTAATGTGGAACCAAACTTTCAAGGAAGCTGAGCAGTCTTAGACAACTAGTTCTCTTTATATCATTCCACAATACTTAGGAGAAGACTTCGTTTTAGTGAAGTTAACAGGAAAAAACTCCATGCATTGACTGATTCAACATTTCCTCATGTTCAGACATGACACTTGTAGTGATTAAGTGGAAGTTACCATCTAGAGTGTCCTGGAATTAGCAGAGGACTAAAACACAGGTGCAATGCCAAATATCTCAAACTGCTGCATGCCCCAGATGTGCCAATGTGAACTACCTCTAATAGAAACAAAGTTATGGCACATGAGGAGAGAGATCCCTGGCAGAAGCAATGTAGTATCTAGTGGCTCTCATCTGAAATGCAGTCTAACATCTAAATAATCACTGTATGAGGAAGATTCACTCAAATGGGCAGAGGTACAGAAAGGGCGATGTGTGCCATCAAAACAATGCCTATCTTCTTGTTTCTATTAGTCTTGTTAATCTGGTAATTCTTACCAGAAGTTAAAAAAAAAAAAAATAAAACAAAGGGGGAAATGAGATCTCTGCTTGGGGTGTAAAATCTGTTTCTGTGAGGAAAAACAGATTTTTTGGGTAAAAGACAGGATTGGCAGATAAAAGGAAGAACCTGCATAGATGTGTTTAAATTTAATTTGGTCATCAAGAAAAAGCTGGCACCCAACTAAGTCAACTGCCAATTCTGTAAGTAAGCCTTTCAGTAAGTGCAGCATGCACAAAAAAACCCTATCCTTTTAAGATTAATCACTATGTTTTAAAAAGGGTTTTATAAGATGATGCTTCTGATGATAGAAAAAGAAAGAACATTACTGAGCCTCTCATTCTCTTGTTCTTCCTAGAAATTGCTGTATATGAAACTTAACTCTGCTATTCAGTGAAGTGGCATGCGAGTAGAATTGATGGATAAAATGGAGAATCAAATCTATTAAATCCTTTACTGGACTTAGGCAGCGATGAAGTAATTTATTTTTGTCATATGAGAACACTAATTCACATTTACATTACAACTTCAGCCTAAACCTCCTAGCTCCAACACTTCCCAAAATCTGAAAAAATCCTAATTTTATTAAGAAACTGGATTTCCTACCCCTACATATAAATGCTTCAGAAGTAGTTATTTTATAACTAGGTGGTAAATGTGCAGTCACTCATTACTCATTGCTGCAAACTGCATAGGATCTGATCCAGTGTAAACTCTTAAACATGGACTTGCTGGATATTCAGTTGCAGAACAAGTGGTACTTGTGAAGTTGAGCTCAGCCGAACCTTTTTGATGAGCTGAATACTTTTGCACGTGGGAAGAACTTCTACTTGCTTCAGCATGTGCAACTAGCATTTGCAGAAAGGAAGCTAGTAAATGTGCTGGCTAGCCTTGGACTATGCCCCAGCCTTAATACAAAATGCTTTTGCATTAAAGGCAGCTATGTGCCATAGCAGGTCACATATACAAATGTGTACAATACTTACAGCAACCAGATGTTTTCCTTTTAAAATAGGAGAGATAACCAAATTTCACCTAGGTTACATTCCCCACCTCCTCTCAGCTTTGAAGTTTGCACAAGCTGTAAGATGCATAAAACAGGGCATGTTATGTTACCTCATAAATGTTAAATTGCTCAACTAAGTCCAAGTCTGTTCCTTTCTTGTTCAAGTGTCTCTGTGAAATAGCTTCAATGCCTAGCTCTTCCAGACAGTCCACCACATCGTAGAAAGAGTCTTGATCTGGCAATCCTGACAGCGTCTGAGAATCAAAGGAAAAACATTTAAATCTGTTTGTTTTGAAAAGAATTAAACAAAGGATTTTAAAAGTGGGTGGCAAGTGGTGCTATGTATGATTTCAATAAAGTAAAACCCATGATGTGGGATTAGAGACACCGATAGAAAATAAAAAACAAGTGGCACAGCTTTTAACAAACAACTCTCTGCACTGTGTAGAAAAATGAATAATTGGCAAAACAAATCAATGTTGTTATTTTCTACAAAAAAGTATGGAAAATGTAGGTCTTTAAAACACACGGTTGGATTTTTTTCTGGCTGCATTCAAGTGCAGACTTAAAGAACAGAGAATGTTAAACCATCAAACACAGGGATAAAAGCAAAGAGGGAGAAAAAAAACCCCAAAATGCTTAGCTAAAAAGAGTAAAGCTCAGTTCCTACTGATTCTTTTAAGTTTAGCTTTAAGAAGAAAAAGTCCAATGCACAGATGTGTGATGTCAGGATAGCAGGAAATATCCTGCACCATGTGCCTACTGTCCTCCACACCTGCAGCAAGAGTCATCTTCCATGAGCACAAATTGGTTTGTATTACAGAGATAGCAACTCATCTGCTCCCTTTCAAATTAAGAAGTCTTATTAAAGCTACACTGACTCCTTAATTCCTATTCCAGCTTGCTACTGATTCTTAATCAGTTTGTGCTGATTTTTTACTACTCCTTGTGCATGTCGCAGAAAGACTAGTTTAATCCTGCACATGTTGAGCAGAAACTACTGAGCGTTCCATGCCGTCTACCTGCAAGGCAAGGACATCCCTTGCCACAGGAACCAGTCTATGCAGAGCTGTTGCTGCAAAACACCTGAGACCTCAGGCTGGAGGCAACACAGTTTTTCTGGATTAGCTCACCAGAGAGAAGTTTCCTCTCTCCCATTCAATTAGCTAAGTAATTTATCTATATTCCCAGCAGAGGAGAGAAAGAGCAAGGGAAAGAGATGCAAAGCCCAGGCCCTCTCCAAGGAGAGTTACATCTTCTCATGCCTGGGATGAACTGTGCTCTGTGAATGCTGTTTTTCTGGAGCCCATCTTTTCCAAGGTGGCTCTGAGCAGCAGAGAGCAGAAAACAGGAGCCCCTCTGGGCTGCCCCCCTACACCAAGAAGCTTTACATTCAGAAAAATGGGTCTGGATTACATGACTAATGAGAGAGAAACAGGCAGCTGACATAGATGTCTTGTTAAAGCACATCTTTCTTGTGATGTAAGCCACTGAAATATGTGCATCAACAATGTACATTTTAATTTAATTTTTTCTAATTAAACACAACACAGCAACATTTTCTTCTTCAGTCATTACAGGATTATTAACTGGTGAAATCCACCACAACAGGAATTCTTAGCAGAAAGCTCAATTATGTGTTAAGATTATACGTTCAGGCTTTAATTAAGAATTTGTCTCTTTCCAGAACAGCATTTAAGCCTCTGTTTAGAACCCACTGAAGACTACAAAACATTCTGAACAGTGCTGAAAATAGGTACCACATTTATTTTGTTCCTTCCTAAACTGACACCCAACATTGAGTAAAAATCTGAGGATTCAGCAAATGAAGTTCTCACACTGCATATTCAGCGGAACAATAACTTGGATGCGGAAATATTATCACAGAAAAGTGTTCAATTATGAGGCTTTCAGTTGCAAATGAAAGACATGGACAGCAACTATTCTGACCCAAATGCCTTCATGCACAGTAGGATGTGATGTTTTATCTGTAAAACTATGGAGGAACAGTCAGATCTTCTGAGCATTTACTTCATAAAGTAACAGGAAATTATCTTAATGTTGCTATGCAGATCACCCACCTTCAAGTACAGCTTTTTTAAAATCCAAGGTAAGGCAAGCTGTAGACTGGAAAAGCAGCAGCATAAGGTAGTATTTACTGGCAACTGTTGCTGTCAGCAGCCTTTTATTGGTTATTATAATTTTAAATCACATAGTAGTGTAAATCCAATTTTCACTGCATGTTGTTGACCAGAACTGGACAACTGAACTCTCAAGTATAGAAATATTTTTCCTTTGCGGTTTGTCATTAAACTCACAGATCCACTTTCAGAGCCTAAAGCATATCAAATTCAATTTCTAACTACTCCAAGAAAAATAACACAGGTTATACTGGAACCATGCATAACAAAAGAGCATCAACAAAAGAGAGGGAGAAGATAAAAGGACTGGAGCAATTCTTGTGTCTGGGCAGATATGTTTTCTGCTCTGGAACAGGAAGGAGCACAGTCTGTAAATGGATATGTAAGGAAAAAGAGTAAAAGCATGCCTCCTTAAGACAAATCCTTCATGAGGACTGTGTCCTCACTGAAAACTTTGACATTTCCTTGTCTAGAGAACTGAAACCATCTGAGCCTTCTTTGTATTCTCTGTGGGGTAAAAAATTACAACTGTTACATGCTGCTTGCTGTTTTCTCTATAATCATGAAAAATATCCCATTAAAAACATCATAAAGCTGCCCATAAGCCAGATCATAATTATAAGTGTGGATTTGTGGGATTCCTCTCTTCCTTGATCTTCAAAACTGCCTTGCTCCTTTGACTGTGACATGCTTTTTCTTTTTGTATGTTTTTAAAGAACTACCTCCTCCTAAAAATAGCTTTAAATGTACTGAAAAACTCAGACTAAAGGAATCAACTGCAGGATAATAAAAGCATGAGCAAGGAAAACCTCTGAGGAAGCCAAACGCCAGGTAGGTTACAACTGTGCAAATGATGAAGAGAACTATCTCAGAACGAGGAATCAGTACACAAGGGGTAAAGCAGAGACATGAATGACTAGTCACCTTGGCTTTAATAGCAGCTACAGACAGAAGCATATATAACTGGTGATGCTTTTTAGAAAGAATACAGCAGTAAGGTAAGGTAGTCTTTTAAACTCAAGAGGAACCTTACTACTGTGGAATCTAGAGTAAGGGTGACTCTAAGCATAAGTACAGTAAGATCAGTAGTATCACCAGGAGAGGTTAGTCTCTCTTAGACATATTTGCTGGAAAATATCTGCCATTAAGAAATTATTTTATAAAAAAACCTCCAAAAGCTAACAAAAACCCAACAAAAAAAGCAACCTACAATTCCAATCATGTAGTCAAGAACCCAATTAGCTGGCAGCTAGGTGTATAACCCCCACAAACAAACTCAGCACCTTCAAGTGAATACAATGAGTAATAATAATATTTCCTAATACTCTGCCCTATTAAGTATAACCATAAACCACACAATTATTTTGTTTGCCAACAGTATGCTGGCTTTCTGTGTTCTTTAAAAAAATTAATCTTTAATTTTAGTACCCCCTCCCCCTACAATTTGTCTATGACTAGATGCTGATTTTTAAGGAATTTACAATTATAAATTTTTAACTTTTGAGAACTTTCCATTTTCTCCCTCCCAACAGCATAAGCCAATATTTCAGAAAATATTTGATTTGACTGCAAAACTATGACTTGTAAATCTGGTCACCAAAAAATAGCAGGAAATTGGAAAAAAATGTAACCTTACTTTTTTAAGCAGAAGCACCCTTACTAGCACTCAGACCTGTTAAATTAATCACATTTATATGACAGCAAAAAGAAAATAAAAATTAAACTATATGGACTAGAAAACTGTGCATGACACAAGCCTTTGTTAGCATGTGATCTTTTCACCAGCACTTACTTTCCTTCTTCCCTCAGATAATCTGTTGAGTTATTTTGTCGTGTTTCCCTTTAGCACTGCATTGTCAGCGCTGGGAGAGGAGTGTTGTCAGACCACAATTCCACACAACATCTACCAAAATAACACCTCTGCTCCCGGCTGCTGCCTCTGAGTGGCTGCAGCACAAGTAACAGGAGTTTGCTGATTGATTACAGCTTGTCCTGCAACTTCTCGGTGACAGGTCTCTTCCATCACATACTCTCAACAGGGAAGTTCATTACACAACTGAAAACTAATATTATCTGCACCAGTCATGCCAACAAAGTAAACAAACCTTGTTAACCAAGGTCATTGCATAAACCAGTAGTTCCGTATCAACCCCATCCTTCTCCTCCAGTATCTCCATGATGTTGGACCATGGCTTGGCTCCTAGAGGAAAAGCAGAAACTATTGGTTACAGTGATCAAAATGGAAAGCTACATAAAAAGCTTCTACTTATCCAAGAAGTAGCACCAATTGGAATATGTGGGCAGCTGAAAACTCAAGCAGAAGGATCCCGCTTTGTCTACAGTTTCTCCTGCTCCCCTGAGAGTGAAGTTAATGTAAACAGTGAAAACTACAGTCCAGCCTATTGCAGGGGTATAAAATATGGCAGGTGGACTCTCTACAAAGGTACCAGCTTCTCTCCCTTATGATGAAGGAAGTTTTGTTAGCACAGTGTGACTGACAACAAAATTCTAAAAATCAGGTGACAGGAATTTTACCCAGCCTACCATAGGTTCACATAGGCTTTGATAAATCTTCAGCAGAGACCTACATGCTGTGCTTTCAGTGTGCCTGCTCCTCCTATTTCTAGCGCTATTGCTGAGTTGTGCTGCATTAAGGTAAGGCAGGTTAACAAAACATTGTGGCAGAGAAACAGTTTTCTCAAATAACAGGCTATATGTCTTGGGGAAAAGAAATGATCAATGAGGGAAAAGATTTTTGCCATGGCTCGTTGTCAAAATACTTTAATAGGAAACCTACCTACAGAACTTTCAGATATGATTCTCTCATTTTCCACTAAGAAAGGTCAAAATTTGTGTTTTTAGTTATTTGCTTGATTTGCACATTGATTTGAATTTGCGTATTTCTCTGATACCTAAACCCTAATGGTTTAGTGAGTTATTGAGCTAAAAACATCAGGCAAGCAACACACCACCCAGACTCAGCCTCTTGTGTGGAAGGTAGCTTGTAAAACTGTCCTATCTCACTTGACTGAATGGCAAGATGGCTGTATGTACCAAATTTTATCTAGGAAAACTGAAATAAATAACAAAAGACTGCAATTCAGTGTTGTGTTTGGAGTAAAGTTAAATGTGAGGAGGACTAAGCAGAGAGCTAACTTTAGCCTTGAGATACACTCAATTGAACTACACAACATAACTGTGACAGTCTTTCAGTTTCAGAGCAAAATATGCAGAGTATTCAACAGTCCACATCCCCTGAACACTATACAGATGATAAGAGTTTGAGTGTAATGAGGCAGAAAAATGCAAATATGCCATCACAGCTACCTGTCGCTGACTGATCAGTCACCCCAAGGTCTAAACTCTGTATTACCCTGTTACAGCCTTTGCTTATTAAAGATATTATATATGCACCCTGCTACACAGACATAAAATCTCTGCTAACCAAGGATCTGCATTGTCAAGGCAATGGCAGTTCACTGGGTGGAAAAACCTGTCTAAAAGTGAATGAGCAGACAGCAATATTTCCCCTTTTTTTTCCTCTCCCCTCAGACAGTCTCTGATCTTTACTACTTAGCCAGGGCTTTTTTATCTTAAGCAAAATCAAAGGAGGAAGGGGATTCACTCTCAGCTCTCCAGATGTATCTATATGCATTCCTAATTAAATACTAATTCAAATATATGTCTATAATGAAAATACACTAGACACCTCTTTACCAGATTCTCTATATTGCCAGACATTTTGTGCAGTATATGTTCAAAAGTCATGTGGAACAAATTCACTCAGCTTGCAAATGATATATGATCAGCAGGAATGATATTCTCACTATAAAAATGTTTTCCTGTGGTTTTCAGTGAAAAAAATGAAAAATGGAAGGAAATAGGAAAGAGAAACAAAATGGGGAAACCATGCAAGTCTGACTCACAATAATGCAATTTGGAAAAACAGTGAGTTGATAACAACATAAAAACATAATTATTTAATCCACTGAATTATTCAGTGGATTATTCCTTTGTTATTGCAGGCAGGTTCTACTCTTATTAGAACAACCCCGGTTTGTTTTTTGGGCAGCATCCATGTGCGTTATTTTTGTTCCCTGAATCTCTCAATAATTCTTCATTATAATAAAATAATAATTTCATGGTCACCTTGCTGTTTTCCTGCAAGGATGATATATACTATTTTTCTAGAAATGCTGCTATTTTATTTCAGAATACAATTTTTAAAAAATATTGTTGATTGGACACACCTGCTAGTAAGGCAGCCCTGTAACAGCTCATCTATCTTTCGAAGGCTTTCTTTATGCTTCTGCTACTAAATCTAGGCTTAAATTCCAAATTCTTCATCTATTCCCTGACTACAGTTAAGAGGAGGCAGTACTATCAATAACTTTGACAGAGCTATTCCAATTTGAACTAGGTTAAACCCTTCTTAAACCTTTCTTTCAAATGCTATTTTCCCAGTTTTGATCTCAGTCTGAACAGCCAAGAAGTGAACGTGGAAATAGCTGTAAGGCCATCTACTACCCACCCAGGATAAGGCAGTGCTGCTGTGGAAGTTGCACCATGAGCTTAGTGCTTTGCTGTCCTTGCATATATATAATGAGAATCTGTAGTTTCCAACCCATGATCCATATAGCATGGGACATATACACACATCCAGCTCAGCTCCCCCCTTTCAGAGCTTCCCCTTCCAGAGCTTGTGCAGTCCAGCATGCTTAAAGTGAAAAGAGACCTGTTCAGATTAAGTTCATAATGAGGAAAATTGCATTTGAAAATAAAGGTTTCATCTTGTACATATTGGAGTAGCTCTTCCAAAGTCATTGATAGTACTGCCTCCTCTTGATTCTAGTTAAGGAATGGGTGAATTTCTTCCTTCACCAGATCCTGATGTAGAAAAATGGTGATATAGAAGATTGATGATATAGCATCCCAGTGATTTTCCTGGGAACAGATGGGGATGTTTCCATAAAGTTATGACTTTTATGAAAGACTTTGTGGAAAAATCAATGGGAGTGATGAAACAGGTTCAGTGAAGTGAAGCACCAGAGATTGAGTTTTGTGTTTTCCTGCCTCCTAATGGGTAAAATGAGAACTGCTTGACTGCCCTTTAGGGGCTTGTCACTTGGAAGAGCTCTTTATCACAGCTATTCTGACTGGGAGGCTGCAGTCTCAACTCTGATGCTACTTGCAGTGTTATGAATAACCATGAACGGTGTACAGACAAAGAACAATGACACTGCAACAATTAAGCAAATATTAAATTAATACAGTCTATTTTCTGAATGACATTGCCCATTGTTTTAAGTCCCAGTCTTTTCTCAGTTTCCTCTTTAAATGTTTTTACATATTTATTTGAATGCTTTTGTTCATGTCATACACAGAACCTTGACACTAAAACTACAAAACAGCTGCACAATTTGCATAAAGCATGAAATATCTTGCACAAGGGCAGAACCTTGCATGAGAACTGCCACCAGCTGAGAGACTGTCTGTCTCCAGCAGCTATAGGCTGGAAAGGTAGTGATACTTTTAAAAAGACCTTGACATCTCGTACTTCTGGCTATTTATATTTGAATGAATCTTTCCATCATACCTACAGTGTGTGAGTTAATTTAGTGAAATCTAACTATGAATGAAATTTCAGGAAAAGCAAAGAACAGACAATGAGGGCCATTTGGCTTTAATCTCTGTCCTAAAATATGATTGTGATAAAGAAGCCCTAGACAGCAGAGTGCAATGCCAGCTCCACTTCCCAGAGCCTTTGCAATCCAGTATGCTTAAACTGAAAAGAGAACAAATTCCTCTGGAGTTCTGAAACAAAAAGCATGGGAGAAGGGAGGAGCTAAGGGGAAGTGCAAGTAGAAGCTAATTCCTACATGATGCGGCCATGCAGTTATTCATTCATGGTGTGCTGGCACCTCAGAGTAAAGCCGGTACTTCCATGGTCTCTGCACTCCAGTTTGCATATGGATGTATTCACACACAGAAACCACAGCTGGGATCGCTTTGAAACCAGGTTGAGTTAATATGAGGTTTTGTAAGTTAATCATGTGTGCTACACATGTTGGAGAATTATGTCATATCTCATCACCTTGTATGTACACGAAACATCAAACTTTTATCAAAGCAGTGCTGAACTTAATTACACACCTGCAAGATTTATGACAATGGCTCAAGAAAAGGCATACTGCTTTTTTCTCTTTTTCTGTTTTGTTTCATCAGTCATTAAAGGCAGGTACTTCTCATTTATAGACCACTAATTTAAAATTATAAATTAAAACATAGTATATCCACATTTAAAAGTGAAGCGCTTTGCCATTGTATCCCACAACATTCTTCTGGAGAAACTAGCTGCTCATGGGGTGGGTGCACTGTTCACTGGGTAGAAAATGGACTGGATGGTTGGCCTACAGAGTGATAGTGCCTGGAGTTCAGTTCAGCTGGCAGATGATCACTCTTAGGGTTCCCCAGGGCTCAGTGTTAGAGCCACTCCTGTTTAATATCATTATCAATGACCGGCATGAGGGGACTGAGGGCAGCCTCAGTCAGTCTGCAGGTGACACCAAGTTAGATGGGAATGTTGATCTGCTGAAAGGCAACAAATCTCTTCAGAGGAATCTGGACAGAGAGGATCAATGGGACAAGGCCAGTTGTATGACAATCAACAAGGTCCTTGTACTTGGGTCACAACAGCCCTATGCTGTGCTGGGGGCAGAGCAGCTGGAAAGCAGCCTGTCAGAAAAGGACCTGGGAGTGCTGGCCAACAGCAGCTGAGCATGAGCCAGCATGTGCCCAGGTGGCCAAGAATGCCAATGGTATCCTAGCCTGTATCAGGGATAGTGTGGACAGCAGCACCAGGGACGTTATTGTCTCTTTGTTCTTGAGGTGAGGCCTCGTCTTGAATCCTGTGTGCGGTTTTGGGCCCCTCACTGCAAGAAAGACATTGAGGTGCTGGAGCCTGTCCAGAGAAGGGCAATGAAGATGGTGAAGGTCTGGAGCACAAGCTTTATGAGGAGTGACTGAAGAAGCTGGGGATCTTTAGCCTGGAGAAAAGGAGGCTCAAGGGAACCTTACTTGTCTCTACAACTCCTGAAGGGAAGCTGTAGACAGGTGGGGGTTGTCCTCTTCCTGGTTAACAAATGACAGAGTGAGAGGAAATTACCCCAACTTGCATCAAGGGAGGTTTAGTTGGATATTAGGAAGAATTTTTTTCACCAGAAGGGTTATCAGGTTTTGGAACAGGCTGCCCAGGGATGTGGTGAAGTCACCATCTCCAGAGGTATTTAAAAGACATGCAGTTGTAGTACTGAGGGACATGGTTTAGTGATGAACTTGGCAGTGCTGTGTTAATGGTTTGACTCAATGGTCTTAAAAGTCTTTTCCAACCAAAATTACTCTGTGACTCTGTTATAATGATGACCTAAAAAGGGAACTAAATATAAAACCAGAAAAAAAAAATCTCTTAAGGAGCTAAGTACAACTGCTTAGTGAAAATATTTTAAAAAAATAGGAAGAAGGAAAAACTGGGTATTTGGGCTAAGGTATTTGCAAGACTTCATAAAATAATCTACCAAAGCACAGGTATGAAAATTCCTGTAAAACCTCTCATTATGCTCTTAACGTATGCTCATCTAACTACATGCATCAGTTTTTTCAAGTCTTGTGTTGTTACTTAAGTTGTTTTATTAATTTGGGGCATGTAAATGATTGCCTAAGACTGCTCTACAGATAGAGAAGGGAATACTTTGTTTCTCCTTTTTCTTTAATGACTTTACTTGCATGTTAGATATAGGGCATTTTGAATTCATTGAGAATACCAGTGAGTTCAGAAAGCTGATGAAATATTAAGAATGACTGAAAAAAGGAGTCACAGTGCTCACAGGTACATTAATATTATAATCATATTTATGTTTATGGCATTGTAAGGTTTACTGCTTTTAATTCAAAACAGAAATCCAACCTGCAGAATTTGCTATTTTGAATTGCCCCTGCCTGCTTCCATGCTGTAAGAGATAATTTGGGTTTTTTCTTTTCAACCCATTCTGATAACTGAAAGCAAAATCTGGCTCCTTTTTCCTATTTCTGGCACCACCTTTCTCCCCAGCCCCCAACACTTTCTTTCTTCATTTTTATAATATCAAGTCTCTCAGACAAGTAGAATATGGAGGCAATTGCTCCACAGAGGGAAGCTCGCTTTCAACCTCCATGTTTGAGACCACAACAATGGATCTCCTAACCTCAAAAACTCTCCTTGAGGCAAAGGAATGTTTTGCATCAAGAGAGAATGCCCCAGGAGCTTAGTGATGGCTTTGTGGGAAGAACAAGAAAGAATCATTTTTGTTCTATTTATTTGTAAAAAATACAGTATACATATTCAAGTATTTTTCATGAGCTGGAAGGGCAACAGATTTCATAGTATAATATCTGCTCAAGGGCTTTATTTTAATGTAACAACAGATGGTTTTGCTTTTTCTATAAAGCCTGTACTATTACTGACCTCGTCTTTCTCTTCAAGGGGATTACACTGATTAGATATAATTTTCTCTTCTAAATCAGACTGCTGCTTCCCAGAAGGAAGTGGAAAGATGGTCTTGCCCAAAGGAACCTCTGAGTCAGAAGATACGGCAGGGATGGGGTTTACTTAGCATGTGGGTGCAGGGAAAGGGCAGTGACTTTGGTACTCCGGGAGGTAATGGAGTTCCTCAGTTTTCACTCTTCACTTTCCCATTATAATTAATTCTTCAAACAACCTCAGATGATACAAATACTTAAAAAATGCTTTTAAGAAATGAAGGGTGTGTTGGACAAAGCAGGCATCAATGACAGCAACTCTAGGACCACTGAAAGCAGTGACGAAATGCTACCTTGATCTCAGCGGTGCTGGGATGCTGCAACCCCTTGGTAAGACTACTCACCTCTCTTTTCATCCACGGTCGATACTGCCTGGATCAAAAGCGGTGCGTTGGATTCTGTGTACTCCACAAACACCAGCAGCAGCTTCAGTGCTGTCTTTACCACCAGGCGAAACTGGAAGAAAAGAGTGTGACTTGTCATTCTCCAAACCACAGCATTCCCAGATGCAGGAAATAACATTGGGCAAGAGGCAAGCCCAGCAGTCCACATCTGGTAGTAACACACAAACAGAAGAGATTAAGCTGTGACAACACTGAAAAAATGGAAGGTAAACAGCTGGCTGAGAATTTCATTCACTGGACAGTACTCTCCTAGGGAATCCCCAGTAGTCAATGAGTGAAAATGAAAGCTTAATACTGTTGCAAGTAACAAAAGGGTGAACATCCCACCTCTGCAAATTCCCAGCATTGCTGCCCAAAGCTTGATGCACACAGAACCCACTGAGCTAACAAAGCATATAGTTCTTTATTTCTCAACACATGTATTTTCTCCCTCTGCTCTGAGACTTTAATCCTGTCAAAATGCTGTATGATGGGATGATTTCCTCCTTATGCTTTCTTCTCTTCTTGTAATGCTATTGTTTAATCCCTAAATTATTAGATTGATCTTCACTATTAAACACAACTTGGGAGGAAGTGTGTTTAATATCCAACTATCCCACCCTGTCACAAAATGTGTGATTTACTGGAACTGAGCATTCTGCCTGCAAGTTTTCAAATTCAGGTTTTTGTACATCCTTAGGAGTACATCATCAAAGACTCGGCATTGGTAAAATGGATCTAGCCAAACCCTACCAATTTCTCCTCAGAGCTCCCATTTCCAGAGAGGATCATTTGACTAAAAGAGCTGAGTAAGAATTTTTAGGAATGATCAAGTATGATTACTTGGTATGATCAGGTATGTGAAAAACCAGCTCTTTAATTGAGGGGAGGATTTTTTAATAGGCAGGGCTCTGCATGTTGAGAGGGCTTTTACTGGGGGAATTGATACTGGCTCAAATTTGCTATACTTTCAATCTAAATAATGGATTATTATACGGTTTCTGTCAATATTGACTAATTCCCATTTCCAAATTTTTTTCAAGTCCTCTCAACACAACTCTCATAAGAAGCAAAAAATCATTAATAATAATTTCATAGATGTACACATGGTTGCAAGGCATTGACTGTGTCTATATTCTAAAAAAGACTACAAGTGCAACAGGCATAGATGCAAGCTGCTGGGCTCACACAGCCGCTCATAGAGATGTACTGGAGCTCACTTGAAGGTAATGAGCTAAAATGCAGCTTGCTGCAGTTAACACACAGCTCAGTGTCAACAGTGATCCCAGCTATTTCCCTAGTTTCTTGGGGTTTACCCACTCATGCAGAATTGAGCTTAATGCCCGCAATGGTACTACCAGCAATGCAAAATATTCTGCCGTTGAATCTAGAGTTTTTTCCAGTTTTATTTGTTGTCAAATTGTTGCATTTCAGGGCTGGCAGCTAGGAAATCCCAGTGACAAAGCTGACCAGGTCCATTAAGACCCTCGGTTAGTCTAATTTGCAGGATACTTCACAAATACATGAGGTAGTCAAATAATAGGAAATTGAAACCTGATAACACAAAAAATCACTTCCTCACATTTGCGTTGTACATCCATGTATTTGCCTGTCAGGCCAATACCACGGTGTTGCTGGTCTGCAGTGACATTTCTCTTAGGAATCAAGTTCAATTGTTTACTAAACACACTGAAAGAATTTCCAAAATGTCTCAATTTTTTTGTAAAGTTACTTTGTAAACAGGAGTTATACCAGATTACTATAAATAATTCTAAAATTAAGATACTTCCCAGATAACCATTTACATACTACCTACTAATACGATTAGGGTTCTTTTTTCCTTAAAAAGGAAAGCTTATATATTTCTTTTGATGGTTCTTAAAGCTTCAAGTCTCAGTCATGTGGTGACAATGGGATGAATTCTCATGAAAGTGCTGTATGGCAAAGCTCCCATATGTCTCCATTTGACAGCAATCAGTGGGGGACACACCAGGCTTAAGTGTGTTTTTGCAAATCTTCTTCTTCCAGGAAGAAGAACCTTTGGCAATACCTTTGCTCAGATTGTTCCCTGCTGGTCATGGCAGCTGCTGCAATAAGGAGCTGGTCCCTCTGCACCTGCACCAGACCAAGGCTGAAGCCAGCTGATTTCAGGTGCCATCTGCAGGTATCAGCTTCCTCTTATCTTACCTTCCATGCTTAACAAGCTAATAGATGGTTTTGTAAGGAATAAATGCCACTCAGAAGCAGTCCTGGAGAACAGGAGTGATTAGGAAAACTATGTTTTGCTTGCCATTTAGGTCTTAGAAGGACACTCTAAGTACATCAATCTGCAAATTTTCAGGACTTATCCAGCTCCTCACAAAAGATTTAATGAGCCCTGGAAGTCGATGTGCTTTCCACTGAAGGTGCATACCATGGCTGTTTTCTTCTTGCACCAGCACAAACATTAGCTTTCAGAAAACCTGCACTTAAAACAATGCTGTTTCCTGCTTAATAGAAAATGGCATTTGGGACTCCTGTGGGCACTTTTAAGCCTGCCTGCTGTTCTGGACACTTCGGGCAAGGACAAAAGCAAAACACTGCAGTTCTAGACTAAGCTGTACAATACCTATACTGAGGACTTACCTAACTACCCATGACGCACACAATCTTTGTGCTCATCCTGCAGTGCTTTTCTAAACTGCATTAGCGGTGCTTCTTGACAGGAGCAGGCAATCATTGCGCAGCTGCACTCCCCCTAGGAAACTGAAGTCTTCAGCCAGCCAAAGGCCCTCTGAGACATCTGATAGCCTGTCACACCCAGACACAACAACAGTCCAGAGCCTGACATACTCACACTAAAATCAGATCTAATTATCCGCTGTGGCACCAAGCAGTCTCTGAAAGGTTTGTTTAGGGATACCTGGCGGCAGGGCCCATGTAAAGCACAGGGAATTTTTTTTAATGTGGCCTCCCATATGATGTCCAATCTGTTAAATATTCCCTTTGTGACCACCTGTGGGCCTGAAGTTCCCATTTGTGAGTAACTATTTGACTGCCAAAGTGAGAGATCCTCACAGCTTCCTGTGTGAGTTCTAAAATGTGTTTGCAGGACATACTTTTTCAATTAAGTATATAGCTAGATTGCAAATAAAACTAAATCTCAAAATTGGAAGATTGCTATACAGGAAAAAACAGCAGCAATTCATCGATTTTCTTGCTTCCTTTTGCGAAGTCATGGGACTTTTTGCCAGTCACTATTGTTTTATTTCACATTATTTATCCAGATGGCACAGCAATGGGAGCAATAGAAACAAGTTTCATATCTCATTCACAAGCAGGTGAATCACAAATAATCTGAATGACTGTTAAAAACTTAATGAAAATTTTAAGACTGTTTGTGGGACTTTTTCCTGGTACTCATTTACTATTGAAGAGGGGAACAACTGCTTTCTGAATCTGCTTGAATAGTCACAGTTTTGTTAAAACCCATGGGCCAATCACACTTCTACTTCAAACAGGACTAGAAAGGCAACAAAAGAAGTAGACATTCTAGTTCAAAAAAAGTCCTGTTATTATCACTTTGCAAACATTGATTGATCTAATTAAATCCAAATTTTCATTTAAATATTGCTGCTTAGTTAAAAAGGAAGGCTCATTGAGGCAATATGCATACTCACTGGCTTGGTAAAATAATTTTTTAACAGTTCTGAGATTAAATCAGGATTCTTGAATATCCAAACACTGAAGCATCGGAACTTCTATTAAGCTAGAAAATAAAGTTCATGTTGTGTTTTTGTATCATGTGCAAGCCAATTTATAGAGAGGAAATGATGTTAGCATCTCCTGGCTAAAGATAAGAACAAGCCAGCAATGTAAAAGGAAGAAGAAAAATTATAAACTATTTCCCTCTGACTTGCTTTACCTTATACAGTGCAGTTTGGCAATCCCTTTCCCTTTTATCTCTTTATATTTAGACAATTACAGACTCAGACAGGGATACCACACAACAGGCTGCAAAATTCATGTCTCATGGAAGGGCTTATCGCAGTTGTTAATCACTTGTCTGGAAAGGCTTTAACCTTTACAAGGAATGTTGTCATAAAGTTCATTGACTTAGAGACCAAAGCAATATTTGTAGAGTTCAGATTGAAACATTCAGGATTCAGTTGTTTTTTTTTTCCCCCTTTTTTTTCTTTTCCTTTTTTCCTTTCAGTTATTTTACTTTCTTCCTTTTAAAAAGGAAGAAAGTAAAAAGGAAATTGAATAAAAATATTTTACTTGGGGAGATGTAGCTACTTTGGATTTATGCTCTTCAAATTTAAAGGAGAAATAGGCATTGAATTTTTAAATAAAGATTTACTACTGCCAAATCCTCTGAAACCTAATCCAGGTGAAGACTTGGATTTACTGTAGGTCAGGTACTCATCCTTTTTTGTATGATACAGCCAGGCAGAGCTGCAGCTAAAGAAACACCCAGTGCAACCAGTGTTCAGCCTGCCTGGGAGAGGTGACAGGGAAGCTGGAACTCCTCTCTCTCATGGGATGCAAAGATGCCCCCAGCTTCAGATCTAGTGCTGCAGGAAGAGCTCATTGGCATCCCACCAGCATCTGCAATTTGACTCAATTTCATGTTTCGCAAGGGAATAAAATCACCTTCTGTTCACAAAAGGAGGAAAGATCTTCCTGGAATAGAAGGTTTTCTATATATATATTTAAATATATATATATATATATATATATATAAATTTTATATATATATATATATACAGTGTATCTATATAAAGCCAGTATTTATTATAAAAAGCAACAAATATATAAAATAAATATTAATACTGTATGGTAATATTATAATATACAATATTATAATGTATTGTTTTCCTTGGTAATAATCAAAAAAAAGGAAATATAAATAGTGAGCTTCACAGAATCTCAGAGTAATAGTTTAAGTTGGAATGGCCCTGATAGATTTTCCTTCTTAGGTGAAAAAATGCTGTTCCTTTCCTCATAAAGCACATGCTTTACCCCATCTCACCATCATCATCACTGCACTTGCTTCCTTCAACTTGGTGGCTATGCTCCCACCAGCCCAGC